CCCCCCCGCCTTCCCTTCTGGTGCAAGAAACCATGACCCTGAAGAACACTGCGCCAAGAACCGGGTCTGGAGGGCATCATTGAGAGCTACCAGCAGAGCAAGGTAGCCGCCTTCCACTGCAAGGTGAGAAGAGCCCCAACGAGGCAAGAGTCATGTGCGAGCAGTGTGATGTCTTCTATTGCAAGCCATGCCTCCTGCGCTGCCACCCATCCCAGGGACCACTGGCCGGAGGCTGAGCCCCGCAAGATCTCCATCTGCACCAACCACAAGCTGGAGAACCACGGCATGTACTGTATCCAGTGCAAGATGCCGGTCTGTTACCAGTGCCTGAAGGAAGGCAAGCACGGCAGTCACGAGGTCATGGCACTGGGGGCTGTGGAAGCTGCACAAGGTGGGTGAGGGGGGTGCATTGGGGTGGGGGTTGATCAGGTGCCAGTTTAAAGACCGGTGCCACCCTACTGCAGGAAGGATACCACTGGGAATACTCCGACACTTGGTTTCAGGGCCATGGTTTCTTTCACCAGGGGAGGGCCCTTCATGGTTCCTTGCACCAGGGCCCTGAGGTTTCTAGTTGTGCCTCTGGCTCCGAGCATGCACAAATATGACTTTTCTGGTTCTGGAGCACGGCGGGTGGCACATGGATTCCCGGAGCCATTTAGAAGCAGCTCTGGTGGGTCTTGATGGACTTTATTGACCATTGTGGTCCAGCACTAGGCCCGGGGATTGAATCGATCAGCCAGACATCCAAACACATCGAATCCTTTTCTCCTTAACCCAGTTTTCACAACCGTATGCTGAAGCTGTGGAGGAAGCTGCAACAGACGGGCTTGCCTTCCAAATGGCTCTCTGTGACACATGTCTGGTTCCTCGGCAGCACTGAGGAGTAGTTGTCACTATGTAAACGATTTGTAAAGTTTTGAAACTTGACTCCAGCCGCAGATTGTGTTGTTCATGGTTTGGCCTTCATTCACCTTCTCCCCAAATCACCCCAGATGGGATTTCTTGTAACCTGCCAATCGCCTGGCAGCTGTGTGATACAATCGCGCTTACATATGACGACGGGCGGCTGATGTGAGATGACTGATCCCGCTTTACACATTGTGCTAAAATATGCAACTCAACTGATGACCGATGTGACTGGCTCAGTGTTCTCTGTACAGCACTGCAGTCTATGTCGGAGATGTATACATGTATAATAATAGTGTGTGACTGTGGGGGGACATTAGAGTGTAAGCTCCTCTGTACAGAGACTGATGTGGGGGGGGGCATTAGAGTGTAAGCTCCTGTGGTGCAGAGACTGATGTAACAGTATACGGATTATCACAATGTCATCTGCACTGATATCATGAAGGAAGATGAGCATTTCTGCGCGTCAGTGGCGCTCACGCAGGTTCCGTGGAGAGGAGTTCATGACTTGCGTGTGTTTATAGCTCGGCTCCGATGTCTCCGGGTTTCTGTAAAAGGAAAAAAACATATTTTTTATGTAGAAACGTTGATGCCAAAACAGAAATGCTTTTTAGTGTGTACGGTACGTTTAATGGAGCAATAACCATCCTGACAGAGGACAAAGACAGACCATAAGTCAGCCCTCCATCTACATTGCTCGACACTAAACCCTGAAGAAGATTTTTTTTGGAGTGGTGGGGGGGGGGGGTGTAATGATTCATATTGCTGTCTGGCGGCCTTGGTGCAATACCAGCCAATCATATGTCACCATTCATCAGAGCAGATAGAACTAAGAAATAAGACTTCTCATTGGTCGGTGGGAGTAGCTGCTGATTTCACATTACAATTCAAGTCCAGGACTTGGTCAAAAAATGATTTTCCCGGCAATAGTTAAAAATAAATTGCAGCTCCGGCTACTATACTCACCCCGTCACCGTCTCTTGTCCTCACATAGTCCCCAGCCGCTCAAGGACCAAGAACAGCTACTCTTCTAAGTTGATAGACGGCCAGCATTATTCAACCCATTTCCTGCGAGCCCCGGGGTGTCAATGCTCCGCCCCCGCCACCCTAGACTTGCAGAAATAATGCATCTTGCCATTATGTGGCACCATGAAGGATCCGCCCACTGCTGGGGAAAGAAGAGGGCAAAAAAGGACCCGTGACAGCACTGGAGGGCATTAAAGTGTGTCTATAGGTGTCCAGGATCCTACCCCTGGTGACTCAATAACAGGAGCAAGATCCTTGTGTGGTGGAGGTGGAATGAGGGGCTGTGAAACAGTTCTCAGCACTGGAGGGCGACCCAAATCTATCTCACTGGACACAGACAGACGGATGCAAATCTTGCATATAATCTGGCGCGCTCTAAGACCCCATTCACACTGAGCTACATCCATTTTTTTCAGAGCGATTTTCAGCGGAGCGACATTGAGCTACAGTGCACATTTTGTCGTGCTACGCAGCGCGACTTTTCGCAGGGACTTCGTAGCTGCTACATTGGGCTGTAACCAATCAAAAGCGCTCTTGATGTGACATCATTCCTTCCTTCCTTCCTTATATTTCTGTGCAAAAGTGACGCCTTCTGTAGCGCGACGTAGTGTGACAATGTCGCGCTACATTGAGCTATACCATTAAAGTCTATGGGGCCAAATCGCACAAAATCCGCCGAAAAATAGGTCATGTTCGAGCGACGAGCTAAAGGTGACATTGAGATGTGAACGGCTCCATTGAAATGCGTTGGACGAGCCACATAGAGCGACATTGAGCTGAGATTTTTGGAGCGGAAATCACGCGATAAACCACTCAGTGTGAACGGGGTCTTAGGGTTGGGAGCAGCGAGGTGACTCCCACACACTTCTGAAATTTCCTAACCCAGTGTTGGCGAACCTTGGCACTCCAGCTGTTTTAGAACTACAAGTCCCATGAGGCATTGCAAGGCTCTGACAGCCACAGACATAACTCCCAGAGGTAGATGCATGTTGGGATTTGTAGTTTTGGCACAGCTAGAGTGCCAAGGTTCGCCATCACTGTCCTAAGCGATCCTGTGAGCTGGAATCTGGCACACTTTCACCTTTCCAACTGCCCACACACAATTTAGGGTAGTACGAAGCTGGGCGGATCTCGACCTCGATGTCGGGATCCGCTCCGGCTGCGGCGTCTCAGTATACCGCGAGCTGTAGCTCGCGGTATACTGAGCTTAGGGTGACGGGAGGACGCTAGTTTGTGTCCTCCCGTTACCCTAAAGAGAAATATGGGGAAAAACACTAACCCCATAGTTTTCCTTTTAACAGCAAAATCACAACTGAGCACACTAGCAATATTTATATAATGCAGCAATCTCTGTAGGAGTATGAGTTCTTATCCTGGTACACAGAAGGACGGGTATTATTTTTTTTATCATTTAATATCCCTCGGTGGGCGGTGCATAGAGATATGTACAGAGGTAAAAACCTACAAAAGACAAGAAAGAAATGGACGAGAAATGTGGCAAGAACGTCCTGTAACTTCCGTGTTTCAAGCACTTCGAGACCCCTTATAATGTTCCTTTTTTATGTGCTCGAGTTCATAGAGGTAAAGATGTGGGATGGACTCGGAGTCGTGGCCGACCAAGCGTTAAATGATTTCCCTATGACTATGTCCCCATTCACACTGAGCGACACTTCCCACGAGCGGATTTTCGCGCGGCCCGGGATAGCGCGACTGTTCGGGCGACCTTCACCGTCGGGCTGCATGCAAAAAAGAAAAATCGTGCGACATCCGTGGGGAAAAAGGGTCCTGCGCAAGCGACAGGCCAGCTCCATAGAAAATCATTGGACGAGCGACTTCTCGCGATATCGCGTGGCAAATATGCGCTATATCGCGGCAGAAATCCCGGGATTAAACTCTCAGTGTGAATGGGCACTAAGACCCCCATTCACGCTGATTTGAGCTGAGCGACTTTGAGAGACATTGAGCTACAACGCACATATCGTCACGCTACAAATCGCTACTTTTGGCATGGACTTCGTAGCTGCTACATTGGGCTGTAGCCAATCAAAAGCGGTCTTGATGTGACATAATTCCTCTTCCTGTATCCTGCTTATATTTCTGTGCAAAAGTGACGCTTCTGTAGCGCAACAATGTCGCACAAAATCGCTGGTGATGCGCGACGTTGAGTGTAGATTGAAGTCTATTGAGCCAAATCGCACGAAATCCGCCGAAAAATAGGTCATGTTGAAGCGACAAGCTACAGGCGGCATTGAGCTGTGAGATGTGAACAGCGCCATTGAAATTCATTGGATGAGCTACATGGAGCTGATGTTTGAGCTTCAAATCGCTCAGTGTGAACGGGGTCTGATATCTTTTACAATAAAAAAAACAAGTAAGGGTGCCCACACACCTCGCGATAATGGCGGGAAATCCCGCGATCGTACGATTATCGTAAGGTGTGTGGAAGCCGTGCGACCTCTACTACTGTAAGTTCGCACGACTTTTAACTTACGAACATGTTCGAAAACCCGCCGAGCATCGTACGATGTTCGGTGGGTGTGTAGCATGTTCGTACGATAAAAGCCGGACGGGCAGTTGTGCGCAAGCGCACACAGCCCGTTCGGCATTGCGGTCATCGGAAGCCCGCCCCTCATGGGGGGGGGGCGCGGCTTGCGATCATCGCAAGTACGATCTGCCTGTCCAAGATGGGCAGATCGTACGTTTTTTTAAGTACCTTACAACCCTCGCAAGACAAAAGTCTTGCGAGGGTTGTAAGTGTGTGCCCAGCATAAGACGGTGCACTGCTTCAATTTCTGATCTGCTGGACATGGTCTGAAAACATATTCTGATACATGTGACATTGTATAGGAGAATGTATTCAGTGACGTCGACATATAAAAGTATCTAATGTAAATGTAAAAAAAAAAGTAGCAAACCAGGAAATGGAGAATATTCCCCCCCCGATCACTGAACTATTTCCGTCTCTGTTACAAAGCCGAGATCTGTGTCAGCTGGTTTGATTTTTATCTTGAGGTTTCTGTTTGTCTATCTACAGGAAGAAAAAAAATGAACCAGAGAAGCCAGCCAGCCAGAACAGCCGCATTGTTGCCCCAGATTTTCAGTATGCGATGAATTACTCGAAGCTCGGCAAGTGTATCATTATAAACAACAAGAACTTTGAAGACAGAACAGGTGATGGCCGCCGGGATTCTTTTCACTGTGAATTCTGCTCATAAATGTGTCTGTTATACAACGAAGGTGAAACCCGGCACAGCAAACTCCCATATAAACACTCCATTCAGTCCATCTTTATATATGCAATACATATACATTAAATGGCAAAAAGTATGTGGACACCTGACCATCACACCTACTTTTATAGCCAATAGTATGTGAACCCCTCCCAATGATGGAGTTCAGGTGTCTCTAGTGAAGGTTCTATTAATAGTTACTACATCATACGTTGTAGACAATTGTGATCTTCCAGCCTTGTGGTCACAGTTTGGTGAAGACCCTTTTCTGTCCCACCCATGACTGTCCCCTGTGTACAAAGCCAGCTCCATAAAGACATGGTGTGACCAGTATGGTGGAGGAACTCGAGTGTCCTACACAGAGCCCTGACCTTCAACCCTACTGAACACCTTTGGGATGGATTGGAATGGCGGTTGTGCGTCTGGTCTTTTCATCCAACATCAGGACCTGACCCCACAGATGGGACAAATTACGACGGAAACTCCAAAAGTTTGTAGAAAGCCTTCCCAAAACAGTGGAGGATGTTATAGCCACATTGGGAGGCAATTTCATATTGATGACCATGAGGGGAGGGGCCGACTCCATAGTTATGGCCATGGAAGGAGGTGCAGCTCCATATTGATGTTCATGGGAGGGGGAGCTATTGGGGGGGGGGGTGCAACTCCATATTGATGGTCATGGGAGGGGGTGCAATTCCATATTGATGGTCATGGGAGGGGGTGCAACTCCATATTGATGGACTTGGGAGGAGGTGCAACTGCATATGTATGTAGAGTATTTGTAACACAGCGCTAGAGGTGGAGTCAACAAAATGTGTGTAGATGTTCACAGATTGGGTTAAGTGATCAATGTATATCAATGTTTAAATTATGTGTGTTAGAAGCAATCATAAAAAAGTAAACGAAAGAAGTTGGAAATGTGTGAACAACATAAGTGAGCAATTAACTGAAGGTTAAGTGTAGCCTATAGCTAATAAATATCAATGACATACAAACATAGGTGAAAAATCGTGATAAACTTAGATGATAAAAAATAGATAATAAAATTAAATAATAATAATAAGATGGATAAAATCAGCTTCGATTAAGCTTAAGTAATAATAAATGAAATTAGATGATAGTAGATAAATGAAATCAGTTACGATTAGTGAATATAATACGGCATTACAACTTCATTGAAATATATAACACAGTATCAGAAAAAACGTCTCAACAAGATTACAGTGGATAATCTGTGACAGTTTTTTAAAAGATCTGACAAAAAAATCTAAATAGCCCCAAAAAATCAGAAGAATAGCATTCAGTGATCTATATTGATCTTGAATTATTTCTTTAAATAGGTGAAGGCGATGCCAGAGACAGCAATGTTCAATGAGCGATATGAAGAGTAGATTTCAAAAAATAGGCAATGTAAAAACAGGAGAAAGGGGGGGG